CTCCGAAGTTTGGCCGAAGCCTAATGTCGTAACCATTGAGGAGAGTTTCAATGGTTTGCGTCACATTGTCCAAATGTTGGGTCGTGCGCCCTCCTATGCAGCCCCTGCGTTGCGGACGAAGAGAAAAGAAATGAACGTTAGATTGTGGGAAATAATTGTAGATGGCTAAGGGGAAATTGGTGGGATTTCCTATCAAATTAATTTTTATTTCTTTTATTTATTTGTTTATTATTATTCTCGTTTCTGTCTTCGGATAATAACATATTTTAAAGAAACGAAAAATGTAATTCACTGAGAAAGGACAAAAAATTATCTTCCGAAACGAAGAGGATAGAAGAATGATGAAGGACGAAGGAAGAACGGAGGAAATGAAGGAAGAACGGAGGAAATGAAGGAAGAACGGAGGAAATGAAGGAAGAACGGAAGGTAGGAAGGAGAATGGAAGAGAAGAATGGAAGAAATAAGGGAGGGAAGGAATAGTCTATTTCTCCCTCTCTCTCTCTGTCTCTCTCCCTCCCTCCCTACCTCCCATCTCTCTCTCGCTCTCTCTCTCTCTCTCTCTCTCTCTCTCTCTCTCTCCTCGTTTCTCTCTCTCTCTCTCTCTGTCTGTCTCTCTCTCTCTCTCTCTCTCTCTCTATCTATCTATCTATCTATCTCTCTCTCAAGATAAGGATACAATTATTATAATTAAAAAACACATTCATATAAAGAGAATACTTTGGTATTCTAGTTCATAATTAATAATTTCTATGTTTCTACGGGATCTGTTATATTCTTCATGTTTTTCATAATTGGAATAGAAATAGTAACGTTAAAGACGCTAAAGAATGATATTAATGATGAAGATATGCAAATTTGTGGATATAATGTGAGAACAATATTATTAGTGTTATTATAGGTAATAATAGGGATGATTATGAAAAAATCAGCAACTGCAACAATAATAATGATGATAATAATAATAATATCAATAATAGATAATAACAATACTAACAACTGAACAGCAGCAACAACAACAACAATAATAATGCGAGTAAAATATATATAAAACAGTGATAATGATAACGAATAAGAAACATAATGAAGTGAAAATAAGCTAACGATGGCTTAACCCCCTCCCTTCCCCCCCTTCCCTCTCCCTTTAACTCCTCCCCTTTCCTATCTCTCCTTAACCCATCCCTTTCCTATCTCTCCTCCCCTTTCCCCTCTCTTCCTTCTCATCTTCCCATTCCTCGCTCTTCCCATTTTTTCATCCCCCTAGCCTTTCCCCTTTTCCTTCCCCTTCCCATCTCCCTTTCCCCTTTCCCCTCTTCCTTCTCCTTCCCATCTCCCCTCCCCTCCCCCTTCCCTTTCCCCTCTCCCCTCCCCTTCCCATCTCACTTCTTCTCCATCTCCCTCCCCCTTCCCTTTCCCCTCTCCCCTCCCCTTCCCATCTCACTTCTTCTCCATCTCCCTCCCCCTTCCCTTTCCCCTCTCCCCTCCCCTTCCCATCTCACTTCTTCTCCATCTCCCTCCCCCTTCCCTTTCCCCTCCCCCTTCCCTTTCCCCTATCCCCTCTCCCTTCTTCTCCCCTTCTCTTTCCCCCCTTCCTTTCTCTCCCCGTCTCCCAAAGCGAAACAACAGCACAACCAAACACACATAAGGAACCACCTTGCCCGGCCGCTCTGAGGACCTATTTTGGCTTCAATCAATAGCGCGATGCCCTTATATAGCCGGTTACACCCCCCCCCCCCCACGAACAGTCTACCCCTTCCTCTCCCCCTCCTCCTTCCCCTTCTCCTCCCTCCTCCCCTCAAAGTCCACCCCTCTCCCACTCCCTCTCCCTCTCTCCCTTTCATCTTCTCTCATGCCTCTCTCCCTCCCTCCCTCCCTCTCCATTTCTCTCCTTTCTCTATTCCTTCCTCCATTTCACTACCGGTTATACTGCCCCCTCCTCTCCCCCTCTCCCCCAAGCTAAGTACCCTCCCTCCTTGGATTCTCTCCCCCAATACCCCCCCCCCGTCTGAGGGTCGGTTCAGAAAGTCCCGTAAGATAAGATGCTTGGGGGGGGGGGTTGGATGATCTATCTGTCTATCTATCTGTCTATTTAGCTATCTATCTGTCTGTCTATCTATCTGTCTATTTAGCTATCTATCTAGCTTTCGATTTACCTTCTTGTCTGCCTGTCTGTCTGTCTGTCCGTTTAACTATCTATCTATCTTTCTGGTTATCTTTCTATCTATCTATCTTTCTGGTTATCTATCTATCTTTCTATCTATCTATTTATCTATCTATCTCTCCATTCATCTGTCTGCTGTACGTTTATGTACCTACCCATCTCTCCATTTATCTATCTATTTATCTATCTATCTGTCTACCTAAAAGCGAAAGAGGGAGCGCGAAGACCAAAGCAAAAAAAACGACAACAACAATAAACAAAAAGCAAGAGTATTGACAAAGACAAGGAAAAGAAGAAAAGGGAAGAGAGAAAAAAAAGAAAAAATCAAGGATGAAGAGAAAACATAATAAAGATGATGATAATAGGAAAAAACAACAACTACAGATGAAATACAAGGAAAGAAAACAAAGAAAATCACAAAGAAAACAAAGAAAATCACAAAGAAAACAAAGAAAATGAACAAAGACGGAAAATTCAATAAAGCTAATAAAAATGTGAAACAAAATATATATAATAATAATAACGAAAGAGAAAACATCGACAAAATACGTAAAGAAAAAGTGAAAATAAACAATAAAAAGATGCTAAAAGCTTTTCGAAAATTCTTAGTAGGCCGGCTCTCTCTTTCTCTCTCTCTCTCTCTCTTCTCCAGTAGGCCTATCGCTGTCTATGTTCTTCCGGCCGTTCTCTTAAAATAATGGATTTTTTTTTTTTTTTTTACTTTGTCAAGAGTTAAAATAATGGATGTCTTTGTTGCTATTTTTAGACTCACAAAGGATTTCCCTTTTTTTTTTTTTTTTTTTTTTTTTAATAGTGGTAGTTGATAATACCAATTACCCGTCATCGGTATTTATTGATAATTATAGAAAGAAAATATTAACAGCAATTGATAATAATGATGATAAAATCTATTTTTGTCTCTCTCTCACACAATAAAAAATGGCCCTCAGAAAAAAATACTAGATTTAAAATAAACACAATAAAACAGCAAATACCCCCCCCCCCTCAAAAAAAGACAAAACAAAAAAAATGAAGAGTAAATAAATGAACATTAGATTGTGTAAAATAATTGAAACAAACAAACAAAAGCAAAAAACAATCAAACAAACAAAACAACAAATAAGTCCCTCTCAAAAATAGAGAAATTTTCCCCCCTTCCCCCTTCCCCCCCCCCATAACCAGATTCCGCAGAGGAGCTCCGTGCTCGCCGTCGCTCTAGTGATGATGTTTACCCCCCGCGCCGTGATTGTGTGCAGACGAGCTTTTTTTTTCAGTTGCAGCCAAGGAGCCAGAGGGGAGGCAAATAGTGGCTTTGTGCGGGGGAGAGGGGAGGGGAGGGGAGAGAAAAGAAGGGGAGGAGGGGGAGAGAGAGAGAGGGGGAGAGGGGAAGGGGAGGGAGAGAAAAGAAGGGGAGGAGGGGGAGAGGGGAAGGAGAGGGGAGAGAAAAGAAGGGGAGGAGGGAGAGAGAGAGAGAGAGGGGGAGAGGGGAAGGAGAGGGGAGAGAAAAGAAGGGGAGGAGGGGGAGAGAGAGAGAGGGGGAGTGGGGAAGGGGAGGGGAGAGAAAAGAAGGGGAGGAGGGGGAGAAAGAGAGAGAGAGAGGGGGGGAGAGAGGAGGGGAGGGGAGAGAAAAGAAGGGGAGGAGGGGGAGAGAGAGAGAGGGGGAGAGGGGAAGGGGAGGGGAAAGAAAAGAAGGGGAGGAGGGGGAGAGAGAGAGAGGGGGAGAGGGGAGGGGAGGGGAGAGAAAAGGAGGGGAGGAGGGGGAGAGAGAGAGGGGGGAAGAGGGGAAGGGGAGGGGAGAGAAAAGAAGGGGAGGAGGGGGAGAGAGAGACAGAGGGGGAGAGGGGAAGGGGAGGGGAGAGAAAAGAAGGGGAGGAGGGAGAGAGAGAGAGGGGGGAGAGGGGAATGAGAGGGGAGAGAAAAGAAAGGGAGGAGGGAGAGAGAGAGGGAGGAGGAGGCGATGAGGAGGAAGAGGAGAAGGGGGAGGATGGGGGTAGGAAGAGAAGGGGAGGAGAAGTGGAGAGGAGGAGGAGGAAGATGGGGGTAGGAGGAGGGGAGAAGAGAAGGAGGAGAAAGGGAGGATGGAGGTAGGAGGGGAAAGGGGCCAGGAGGAGTAGAATGAGAAGGAGGAGGAAAGGGAGAAAAGAGGAGGACAGGAGAAAGGAAGACAGGAGAAAGGAGGAAGAGGAGGAGGAAAAAGGTGGAGAAGGGGGTTTAAAGGAAGGAGGAGGAAGAGGAGAAAGGAGGGTAGGAGGATGGGAAACGTGGAGGAGGACTAGAGAGAGGAAGAGACAGAGAAAGAAGGGGAGGAGGATAAGAAAAGGAGAGGGGAAGGAGAAGGAGAGAGGGGTGAGGAAGAGGAGAGAGGAGGAGAAAGGAGATAGGAGGAGAAAGAGGAGAAAGAAACGGAAAGGGAGGTGGGGGAGGGAGATATGAAAGTCTGGCTGGGTTCGTGTGATGGGGAGGAGGGGAAAGGAGGGGGGGGGGAGGAGGAGAGAAAGATGGAGGACAAGGGAGGAGGAGGAGGGAGGAGGGGGAGGAAGAGGGGGAAGAGAGAGGAGGGAGGAAAGGGAGGAGGAGGGAAGCGAGAAACAAGAGGAGGAGGGAAGAGGGAGAGGGGGATAGAGGAGAGAGGAGGGAAGAGAGAGGAGGGAGGAGGGAGGAAAGGAGGGAGGAGGAGGGAGACGAGAAGACAGGAGAAGGAGGGAGGAGGGGGAGGCTGGAGAAGATTATGAAAAGAAGAAAGGAAGAAGGAAAGAAAAAGGAGGAGGAGGAGGAGGAGGAGGACGAGGAGGAGGAGGAGGAAAACGGGAGGATGAAAGAGGGGGGTGAAGATGAGGATGAAGAAGAGGAGGATGAAGAAATGGGAAAGAAAAGAAAGAGGAGAAGGAGGAGGAGGAAAAGAACGGGAGGAAGAAAGACGGGGGTGAAGATGAGAATGAGGAAGAG